CATTAGTGAAGGTGACCAGAGCCGTGGCTCTATGTATCTAACCTATGTACCGCAATGATACAGTAAATTCCTGTAGTGAGAAATGCATATGACTTTTGTGCTTTGCATGTGCAGTTACCCAATAGAAAGCGTTTTACAGCATTTGCGCTTTTCTCATTTTAATAATATTCTTTTTGCGTCCTCTAAATCTTCAGGCTCAATTTCTTTAACTCAACAAAATCAAAATCAAAAATTTGCCAACTAGAAATCTTTCAAAGAGAAACATTTTCTTAGCAATGATTTGTAATGTATTGGCAAGATGTCTGGTTATCTGGAGTTTTTTGAGTTTGAAACGCGCAAACTTCAACCTAACAAAATGTCAAAAAAATGCATTCCAGCTTGATGTGCAATTTCATCAATAATTTCATTGAAATAAGTCTTGGAGTTGCTTCAGATTACAAATTATAATTAAAAAGAAGTTTAATTGGTTGACACAATATCAATCAAAGACCTGTAAATCTCTGTGACCCCTGGATTCAGAGCTTCTCAAATTGCAGAGCCCAAGATGTGCTTTCGCTTTTCCTTTGACCTTTAGTCTAAGTGCTACTTAGGTAACATCCCATGATTTTGAATTAAGGCCTTCTGTTTAGAGAGGTAACAAAATGATTTGCCATGGATGTTCGTGCGTTTCAGAAATTATGACTAAAAAAGTTGGAACTACGAAGTCTGAGATATTACACCACAGATAAGAGAAATCAGCGCCAAATGAGTCAGTGTTCCGCTCGTATTTCGACTAACCAGAAGTCATAGCTCCAAAAAATCTCTTCAGTAATTATGGCATTCAAAGAGTTTGTTAGCACTTTTAGCATTATCAGATAATGAAGTATCGCCTTACTCTCTGTTCAATCCTCTCATCGATGGTCTTGTATATCTGCTCAAAAATAGCTGGTGCTGAGCTTTGTCGAAGTTTTGATGTAAGCAGAAAAAGCTTCCTACAAAGAGATTGTACAGTATCTACATCTTTGAAAGTTCGAAGTTATTTGTTTTAATAATACAAAACTTTTGTGTAACGTACTTACCTTATGGGTATCCCAAGACTGGGTATTGCACATGCTAGATAAAAAGCAGGCTGACGAAAGCTACGTTGAAAAATCTGAATATCTCTTAAATCATAATAATATCAAAAAAACTCTAGTCGTTTTGTGAAAGACTAACTTTATCTACACGTGTCATTTTCTCATCTGCAAACATTTTTGATCCTTTTTGTCCCAGCGCGATACGATAAATTACATCCATCGTGAACTCCTTGTAAAACCTAAACAGAGTATAGCACCTGCTGGAAAAATGTTTTCAAAAACTTACGGAAGAACGTCAAAAGCTGGTTTGTTTGCTCTATCATCAAACAGCTTGATAAGAGCGAGCACAGAGTCCTCCACAGTGGGTCGAATCTCAAAATTATTGGAATCAAGAAAATCCTCCATAAGGCACAATCTTTTACAATAAGTCCTTTCTTTTTATCACGGAGGGCCCCAAAAAAGGGTAAGTTAACTTAGCTTACACACATGCGTATGCATTTACGCAATCGCTACGCTTAGATCGCGAAAGTATTGGCAATATAAATGTTATTAGTTGAAATGTCAGTGAAGTTATTTCGTCGTTCAGCCTGATGATAATTGACATCTAAACTCATCTACGAATCAAATGGTTAAATATATCGTTACTTTGTAGATCACTCAAAACTCTTGACGAGATAACAAAACAGACACTCCTACTAAACTCTTTACGAGCGGCTCTGCTGCCAAAGCTAAATTAATTAAAACAGTCGCAAGAATTGGGATACGCCAAAAGTTGCAATTATTCTAAGATTTTCAGAGTTTCCGCTATCGCATTTTCTTAGCTTCAAATTGTTTGATTTGCGGATATAACCCTGTCCTCAAATCTCAGACATATAAATCAACTCATTTTTTCCTGAAAATACTAGCTTTGTACGTACAGATTTCACCCTCTGGTATGTTGAGTAGGCTGGCCTCGTAGTAAGAAAATGCCTCAAAGTTCAATATAAAAGCCCGCTTAACATACCTTCTTTAACGAACCAGCTGAGAAGGCAGGGCTGGAAATGGCTCTCAGTCGCTTCCATCTCACACCTTGTGACTCAAACAAATGTACACGAGGGTCGTTTTCAACGTCTCCAACTAAGACACTATTCTAAAATGAGCTACGGC